AAAGCACTCACAACTCTTATAATCAATGAAGCTGTCCATACACGGTATGATAAATGAATCTCTAACTTACATCGTACGTACATCTGCACTTTGTTGCTTATGATGAGGGAATTCGCGAGTTTCAGTCTGAACAAAACTCTGGGGTTTCAGCGATGACTAATCTGAACGCCTCTGAGTGGCCACTGCATTCCTAAGATCAACAGAATCGTGTGTGATTGGTTATAACGAGCAACACTGTAAAAACGCGTAAAAATAAAATATGATGTAACATAAGCAGGTTTAAATTTAATACAGCAATCAAAACTTCATTTTAAGTATTAAAGTTTTATTGAAAAACCAGGGGACCCCCCCAAGTATATTTTTTGGGTGTTATGGGGGGTCCCTTAATGCTTATGGGAGGTCTGGGACCCCCCCCCCCCCCCAACAGGCAATCTAACAGGCAATCTAGAGAAAGAGAGAAGCTTTCAGTCATTTTGCATTTAATTTGTCTGTAGGCATTAAAGATATGAGAAGAATGTCATTGCCAATAATGAGATTTGAAATATGCCATAGGCACTCTAGACAAATTGTGAGTAAAACATCTCTTATACTATGATTGAATATTAGCAATAGATATGTTCCTTCAAAAACTGCATTAAGTCAGAATACCTATTGTTACTTTTAAATGCCAAACCTTGACCCTTTGAACCAACCAACTAATCAGTTAATGCATAGTCACATTAGCGAAGTTTCAGCAAAACTGCTGGCAAAAAAAGATCCATTATTGTCAATAGTGTAGTGATGTATGAAGCACAGCTCTCAAAGAAGTCACTTTCAAACCAAGCAGATTTCTGCTGGTCAACAGCCCAATGTAGCAAATTTGCCAAATCTGCATTGGGAAATCTTTGTCCTCACAAGAAATTGCAGACTGTGTGGATTCTTACATACATAAAATAAGGGAAGACCCCATATTTAATTGAAAACGGATGAAAACAAGGCTTTCAGACTTTCTTGCACTGTCTTAGATCATGTAAAAACAATTGTCAATACTGTTTTATGGAGTTTTTTCTGAAAGCTTTTTGGAAAGATGCTTCATCAGCTGAACAATTGGCAACAGTACAATCCACTGAACACACTGTACTTCTATCCCTCACAGCCTTGTTTTCATTCCTGTCAAAAATTAAATATGGCACTACCCTGACTAAAGTCTGTTGAAAAGACTGAATTAATTTGCCGAACGGTAAATGTGATCACACCTTTAGTCGATTAAAATGTGCGTGAGAATTAAAAAGGAACCACATAAAGGACTCGAGCTGTTCATAAACCAAGCTGCAAACACCTAAGACTGTGTCCCTACTCACCCACTGAGGAGATCCTGTTTAAACAGATCATTAAAACCATGATGCGCCACAAGAGTCGGGAGGGAAGGATTGAGAAAGTGAAGGTGAGAGACAGCGAGAGCTTCATTAACACAAAATACACAGAGATGTTGGGAGATATGTTACTAGCCTATACCAACAACATTACATCAGGTTACTCTAAGAATAGGTGCACATTTTTGGAGGTTTTGTTATCCCCAGTGTATATTTATTTAATTTTGCTATAAAAAAAAAAACACACACACACACACACACACACACACACACACACACGTACGTACGTGTATGTGCTGTCAAATAAATCTTAACTAAAACTCAAATTTATGTGAGAGTGTGGATGCATGCCTTAGCCTAGCACAGCAGTTTTCCTTACTTTAAGCTGGCAGCCTTTGAACACAGTCTCTGTTTTCTGTGTATAAACAGGGAGTCAGTGCATGATGGATCCACTCATTAATCTTCAGGCATGTTCTTTCATTGATGCATACTCAAGAGACCTGTGTACAGTTTAAAAGGGGTCACCGGGAATTCAGGTGCAACTCAGGGCAAGTATGCATGTGCACTACACTTCTGACAACTGCATTATAGTAAAAAGGCCTTTTTTTCAGGCTGACAAAGAGCAAGACACAATGAAAGAGATTTTTTTCCCTTGCATTGTCCTAGTATTTCGACACGCTGTTGTTTGCTTGAGCTTGTGAGGTATTTTTAGCTCTTATCATGACTCACTTCCCTTTGATATTACTAAACCAAGAGCCAAAATAATTAAAACTGGGCTAATTCCTTATCTGACAAAATCCACGTACTTCATCTCATGCATGATGCCTGTAAGGTGTAAGTCAGAAATAGCCATAGAATTCCTTGGACAGCCACCAGCAGTACAAGTCTTCATGTTGAAAAATAAAGGCTGGATTGTGTGTGCAAACAAAAGGTGACTGAACGATTCAGGACTTGCTCTCCATTCAAAAGCAGTGGCCTATTCAGAAGATTTCTGATGTAATGGAGAAAGTTGGACAATTGGAGAAGTGTACGCAATAACGCAATCAAGTGTGTAGACTGTACTATACATTTGCCTCACATGGGTTCAATTCAATGCAGCTGTTCTCCTGCACCGTCATCTGCGATGCCCCTTATAGAAAAAAGAAGAGCATATATATATATATATATATATATATATATATATACATGATGCACAGTAGCAGGTTAGACATTGTTGCCATTAGTTTCTACATGTTCATCACGGATTGCCAGGGGCCTCCAAAGCCTCAAGCTGTGTGTCCTGACACTGTCAAATGAAGTTTAACACTTGGGCTCCTGGCAAATACAGCACAAGCTGACCATATTGGCCCCTGGGACCCATGGCGCATTTAGCAGTAGCTGAACACTTGGACCCCCGAGCCCTGCGACACTTTCAGTATGAGCTTACTATGATGGGACCCTGCTACTATTTTAGTCATCTAATGTTATTCTACTAAATCAAGTGTTCTTAAAAACAATGTAATTTAACAGTTGGCAGAGCAAGGGGCAAGACCATGAGTGTACTGTCATATACAATAGAGAGCAAAATATAGTGTTTTTTCCTAGCACTGTAACTGTTTAGAAAGGGGCTTTAAAGTGAAGTGTAAAAGCTCAGCCTTTCAGCAACTGCATTTACTGTCGCTTTTTCACGGCGACAGACAGGTGAGGTACCTGATGCTCATGAATCTTTGCATGAAAAGTGAAAAATGCCCCCTAGTCTGAGACAAATGATTCCACACAAACGCTGAGTGACAGTCAGTGGGCAGAAAATGACACGCTGTGGGAGAGAAGAGAGAGAGACCTGCAGGAGACACACACAAGGAGAAAGACAAAATAAAAGTGCTAGAGTGAGACAGAGAGAGAACAAGAGAAAGTGTGGGGGAGACTCAATCTCTGTCATTCATTCACACTCTAGAGAATGGCTGCAGGGAGGAATGAAAGAGTATGATTCGTTTTTGTTATCCCTCTGATGGGTGAAAAAGGCTCGTTTTACAAAGCAAAAGAACTGATTCTAGCACCTTCACTTTTCTCTTTCAGATCTTGTGGACAGTGTTTGAGAGAGTGTGTGCATATGTGTGTGCGTGTGTGAGGGCGAGCGTGAAAGTGTGTGTGTTAGCACTTCCACATGGCCTCCATGCAGGACGGGGTGAACTTCTCTGCTCATCCCTACGGCAAAGTACTGCTGCTGGGGGCCATCGCCGCCGCCTCAGCCTTCGTTGTCACCATCCTCATCGTCGTGCTATGTGTGGGCTGCCAGAGGTGAGTTGCAAACACAAACACATATGCTCATATGTGACCTGTCCTAACAAACCATACATCAATGGAAAGCTTATTTATTCAGCTTTCAGATGATGAATAAATCTCAATTTCAAAGAATTTACACTTAAGACTGGTTTTGTGGTCCAGGGTCACATATATAAAATGCTCTGACTGCTTGCCCTCTTTGGTTGGTTGGAGTTTATTTGGTGGTTTATTTGTTTAGATTCATATTCTTCTTGTTTAAACCCCAACCCTAAAATGCATAACTCATCCTGCTTTTGTGTTGTGGACTTAATACCTTAAATCATGCAGCTCATTGATGAGAGGCTTACGATTTTTCCTGGTGTACAAAAAAACTAAGCCAAATTGGCGAAAGACTTCCATAGACTTGCCCTGAAGGATTAACCCCAATCATAATAGCAATCATCTAGAAATGCTTTAGCAACCCCCCAGAACACCACAGAAATCAACCATATAGCAACACTCCGGTAAACTCATAAATATGATATTGATAATTTGGTTCTTTCATACGCTACTGTTCAAAAGTTTAGGGTTTTTTTTTATTTATTTTTTAATCTTTCTCTTGAATGTGTGGGGGAAGTTGTGGCATAATGGTTAGAGAGTCAGACTCATAACCCAAAGGTTGCGGGTTCGAGTCTCGTACCGGCAGGGATTGTAGGTGGGGGGAGTAAATGTACATCGCTCTCTACCACCTTCAATACCACGACTGACACCGAGGCACCGAACCCCAACTGCTCCCCGGGCGCCGCAGCATAAATGACTGCCCAGTGCTCCGGGTGTGTGTTCATGGTGTGTGTGTGCACTTTGGATGGGTTAAATGCAGAGCACTAATTCCAAGTATGGGTCACCATACTTGGCCACATGTCACGTCGTAAGGTATATTGTGAAATATTATTACATTTTTTAATTTTAATGTATTTTAAAGGGTTAGTTCACCCAAAAATGAAAATTCTGTCATTAATTACTCAGACGAAAGAAAATGTGGAATAAAGTCGTTATTTTTGTTTTCTTTGCGCAAAAAAGTATTCTCGTAGCTTCGTAACTTTACTGTTGAACCACTGATGTTACACGGAGTACTTTGTCGATCATCTTGGTACTTTTCTGGACCTTGAACGTGGTAGTTACCTTGCTGTCAATGGGAGGGTCAGAGAGCCCTCAGATTTCATCAAAAATATCTTAAATTGTGTTCCGAAGATGAACGAAGGTCTTACGGGTTTGGAACAACACGAGGGTGAATAATTAATGACAATATTTTATGTATTTTCATTCTGTGCTAGAGACATTTTTTTTTTCCCAGCCCATTGCATTCAATAAATTATAACACTGGTAGATCTTAACTTCTGAGGCAGGCTTTAATTTAGTACAGTATTTCTGAATGAAGAAAAAATGACATCTAATGGCAGAGAATTTGACTAACATGTTCACACCGAGCTAGCATTCTCATACTTGTAACAGTGTGCTTTGCACTGGAAATCTTCATATTGTCAACTTCGCAGAAAATGCTCCTGTAATATGAAGCTACATATCCCACTGCTGCCATGTGTGTGTTCCAAGATGAAAGCCAGAGATCACCTGTCTTCACCCGTCAATGTCACTAAGGCCTTTAATAGAGCTTATTCAAAAAGTTCACCCACGCCTCTTTCATGCTCACTGCGTAATGGTGGGGACATCATTTTGACATGGCAGTGATGTTTAAACAGGAAGTGGCTGTTTTTTTTTCTTTTCCATTCATGTCTCTCTTGTTCCACCGATGATAGCACAGAGCACGCTGTGTGAATGCTAATGTCTCATTTTGTCAAAGCACATGATGCATCTGGTAGTGGGAGGACAAAGAAAAAGTATTAGAGGAATGAGAGATGGAGGTGAAGAAAGACAAGTGAAGAAGTCACTGAGAAAGACAAGAACAAGGGTTGAAGGAAATACATATAAGAAAGACATTGCAGGGAAAAAGTAAATGAGAAAATTAGAGAAGATGTTGGAGGTATTGTGAGTTATTTATAGCTTGCAAATGAATACTGAACACTACAGTCAAAGGTAGACTCAGTAGTTCACTAAAAAATGAATAAAGCTGATACGTTTCACAAAACCAGTTGGAATGATTAGTTGACAAATCAGGCTGAGCTAGTTCTCAGTAGGTGGGTTTCCATTACAGATTGCAAACTTTTGCGATATTATATAAATGTCGATAAAAAAACTAGTGAAATGATGGTGTTTCCATTAACCGATGTTATGCAAATAAAACAATTTTTTCCTCTTGTGATAAGTCATAGTGACGAATGTTGGTAGGTTTACATTTATTGCAGCCACTGCACTAGCAATTATCTTTAATTGAAGGAGACGTAAGTGTGTATCTTTAGCAAAGCAGTGTGGAAAGCCGCTTCTGGGACACTTCTGAAATGTGCCGCGGCGCGGCTGGTATAAACACAAGCATTGACTAGAGTAGCCACAGTCAGCTCTGCCTTAATGCGCTGCAGAGGGGTTATCCAAGCGTTAATGGCAAGGAAAGCCCCTAAATTTGAGAGTGGCCACGTATGAGGTGTTTCTTGGAGGTTATAATACATTAAAGCATTGGTCTCAAACTCAATTACTGGAGGGCCACAGCTCGGCACAGTTTAGCTCCAACCCTAATAAAACACACCTGATCCAACTAATCAAGGTCTTCAGTATCACTAGAAACTTCCAAGCAGGTGTGACTTGGGGCTGGTTCGAGCTAAACTCTGCAAAATGACTAAATGTAAATGTAAATGTAAACTCTGCAGAGCTGTGGCCCTCCAGGAATTGAGTTTGAGACCACTGCATTAAAGAATGATCATGTGATTTTTATGTACGCCAGGTAACCTGTAAATGAGAAAAAAACAAAAACGTTTCCATTGCCTTAAAAACCCAACTTATGCGAGCATGAAAACCTTTTTGCAATATATGGGAGTTTTTGCAAAATTTACGTTTCCATTGGCCGTATTTTCAATTCACAATTTCAATTTGTGCAATTTGAAGGGTAATGAAAACACATCTAGAGACTTAGTTAATCTTTTTTTTTTTTTGGCATTCTTGCATTTTTCTTGATAGGACAGCGGCGATCCAACATGAAGTGATTGGGAGAGAGAGAGAGGGATGGGATCGGTAAAAGTCCACAAGGTGGGATTTGAACTTGGGACACCTGAAGTGCAACTGTGCCATATGTTGGCACGCTACCCATGAGGCTATTGGCACAGACAGATAGTCACGTACTCAGTGATTCTTTTGTAGTGGTTAACAGACCACTGATTGGGAAGATGATCAATTTTGGCGTATTTGCAGGGGTGTGAAGTAACGAATTACAAATACTCACGTTACAGTTGTTGCTTGTTGAACTTGTTGACTTTTGATGAGTTTGAGCGCGTGATGCGCGCTGTGAAAAAGTGTGTTGGAAACACAAATTGAGAACCAATCTGCACCTTATTGATGACCCGTGGCGTTAATATACAGCATCTGTGCCAGCGCGTGATGTAATAAAACTGCAGATCGCTAATAAATGTTTTATTTATTTATTTATTTTTAATCAATTTTATACAATCTGCCTTCATTTAGCAAGTGCACTCGCGCATAAAGGGGGTAGAATCCACAGCTCAGTACTCACTACTCACTACTCATGAGTACTTTTAAATAGGCTACTCTTTTACTCTTACTCAAGTAGTTTTTTGGACAAGTACTTTTACTCTATTCACACTACATTTTTTGGAAGGTAATGGTACTTTTACTTGAGTATATTTTTTCAGTACTCTTTCCACCACTGCCTATTTGTCATACAAGGCAATTAAATATAGTGTGTTAGTAGTATGGGCCACTTTTATGATGCTTTTGCATCATTTCTGAAGCTTGAAATCTCCCATTTATTGTAACTACATGGTAAATCAGAATTTTTATTTGGGTGAACTGTCCCCTTCAAGGCCAAATTCAAGCTTATACGGTCACTCTTCCTCACTGACCTTCCACATCATTTATCATATTATTAGATCTGAAATATTCAGCATAGTATATTTACTAATGGGTTTAAGAAGCTGTACGTGTATACTATATATTTATTTCAAAAAGTTTTTGAGAAGGCTAGATGTTCTTGTGTGATATTATACTAATGTTTTTTTATTCGGTTATGTCTTAAAAAACAAATATCAATGATTCATGGGAAATTCAGTAATGGCTTTAGTACTTTACCAAATCTACTTTGTATCAATTTCGCACTGCTGGTCGGCAGATTTCAGATACCTACATTGTTCCTGTAATCTTATCAAAGCAATGCAAGCAATCAGACGGGAACCACTGACATAAACAGATGTCTGGTCAAATTTGGCCGAACATTCCGGGCAATGGGTCTGGATCAGGGCCCTGTGTATGTGTGAGAGAGGAAAGTTTAGATTCTTGAGTCACTGACAGACATGACTGTTTACTTCTTGTCTTCTCATGAAGAAAATTATCCTCAGCATCCATTTAGCTATTTTAGTGATGTTTGAATTGTATTATGTTGATTGTTTGATTGATTTTCTTTGTGGCTGAGATTTGGCCTGCACACCATTGCGCCGCAGTTACTCAGAGGCCTGTTAATCATCCAGTGAAAGCCTTGTTGTTTCAAATGCCAATCTGGACTCATTTTGAGGACAGTGCATCTTGAAAGCACTTGCACGGTTACTTCTGATCAAATGACTTCACTCAAACAGTTTATAAAAAAACAACTGCCTTGAATCCTTCGAGTAGCCTAATTGAATTGAAATGTGCATTTTCTTTCTGCACAAGATAAACAGTTGGAGCTACTAAAGTAAATTGAATCAGGGGCTCAAATGAGTCAGCGCATTCAGTCTCCATAAATCACTGGGTAAACGGAGCATTTGAAGTTTGAACCTAACATTCTAAATTTTTTCGATTTGGAACAGCGTGGTTTACATCTCGCTGATTGTGTCTTGCAGGAAGGGGAAGACGCACAATGGCCCTGGAGAGGAGAGGAAGCACAGGCTCATGGACATGGTGAGCATTTTTAAGTCTCTTCTCTTCTGTTCTGCTGCCTTTTTTTCCATTTTCTCATTGGGTGTTATTCACTAATAATTGCACACAGCTTGTACTGCCATTTCTCAAACATATCTTCATCCATTAAGTTATCTGTTAGTATATACACACACTATACTGTATATAGCCTATTTCTGTTCAGTTTGGGGTCAGTTGGTGTTTTTATAACAACTTGTTTTGATTTATTTAAATCCAAATTTTCAGCAGCCATTACTGCAGTCTTCAGTGCCACATGATCCTTCAAAAATCATTCTAACATGCTGATTTGGTGCACTGGAAAATTTCTTATTATCAATGTTGAAAACAGATGTGCCACGTATTTTTTATTTTTGAGGATTCTTTGAAAAGAATGGAAAGTACAACATTTATTTTAAATAGAACTCTTCTGTAACATTATACATTTCTTTACTGTGTCACTTTTGAGCAATTTAACGTGTCCTTGCTGACTAAAAGTATTAATTTCTTTAAAAAACAAAATCCTACTGAACCCAAACGTTTGTTTTTATATAAGCAGAGAAAAAGGATAACCTAAAGTAATCTTCAGAGAGAAACCTTATTGATAAATCACGATTTCGGCATGAAAACATGCACACATAAGTTTTTATGCACAATTACGTGTGTACACATTGCTGGTGAATGAACCCCATTCTTCTTCTTCTAAATAATTTCCCTCTTTTTCTCTGTATTTTCTAAGGAACCCAGGTCTGGGCTCAGTTCCATGTTAGTTCAAGCAGTTCATGGTTTTGTTTCTCCTCCTGAATTTAATTAATCTTCTTAATCGGCTCAGTGGAAATAGATCTGACCTAAACTTTGAATGGATCTCTTAAGCTTCGAATCTAAAACAAAAGAATTTGGCCCATTTCACTATTTTAGCATCCCACGTTGTATGACACCCTAATGTAGATGTATTTTTTTGTCACCCAGAACATTCCTCAACTGTTTTACCCTGATTTTACCTTGGATATCAAGCAGTGATGGTGACCCAGCACAGTACACAATAATATAAATAACATACAACAGTAAGAAGTAATAATTTCAAACATGAATTTATTAATATTGCCATGTACTTGCTTGACCCAACAATATGCCCAATGTAGACTGAATAAAAAAATTGCATTTTTAGTTGTTGTATTGGTTATGCTGTTTTATTTGAATACATTTAAGCAGTTTATCTGTGCATCTGTTTTCAGAGTATACTGCGACAGTCCAAGCTGACCTCCATCAGTAAGTCAGACACCAAGCTTCATGAGATGAACAGACTCAACTGCAATGGCAAGAGTATGTACTGTACAATCACATCTCTTAAAGCTTGATAGTCTCTAGTTCCTCACATATACCTGCAGTTCGGGGGGAAGGTCTGAGCATGGTACCAGCTATGTTTCAGGAGTTTCCATAGGGGCTATTAGTAGATATCTATCTATATCTATAGTGATTGACATGTGTCTGCTGCCCTTTGCCTCTGCAGTTTCGAGCAAATCTTTTTATTGTCTCTTTGAAAAAACAATGGTTTTGCTTCTCAGATTTTAGTTTATATCATGCTGCTCTCTGTAGAATCTTCTAAGAAGAACCGTCCTGCCAGCATGGATCTGCTCCTACTTCCTAGCCATCGCTCAAACTCCGACCTGCGTTCTCAGGGCCGCCAGCTGCCTCAGATCCCCTCTGGTGAGGATGGGGAACACACATACGCCGAGGTGGGCCGCCGCTCTTCTCCCACACGCGGTTCTGAGGATGCCCGCTATGGCGTTGGAGGTCGAGCTGGAGAGACGGACACACCCGCCC